TTGTTTCTATGAAAAAAATTGTCATCCACGTTTTTACAGTAGTAGTTGGAAAAAAAATCGTAGAAATGATTTATACACGTATGTGTTTCTGTCTTAAAAACATACTATCTATTTGTGTGCCAGTGAACTTACTCGTAGCCGCTGCAGCTTCGCTGCCTTTCTCGTTGACTTCGATAAAAGCCTTCTGAACGACTTTGTCCACCTTCAGCGGCTCAAGAGCAATGCCAGTAAAATTGGCGCGATCGGTGAACATGTCCGTCATACCCAACTGAAACGCCATTTCGTTATCACTTAAAAACTCCCTTTTTTTCTAACAAACACTGAAAAGAAAAAGAAAAATGCACACTCACCCTTTGAACGACGCGTTTGAGATCGACGGTGCTCTCGATCTTGAACTTGGGCAGAGAAACTTGGACCTCCTTGAAGTCCCTCGCCTCCGACAACGTCTTGGGGTAGAGCGAGTGGAGGTGCTTCTCGATCTCGCTGAGCCCGCTGACCTCGTCCGGCAAAATGACGATCATAACAACGTTTTCGTTCTGCAATCGATGAAAAATTACGGTACCATTTGCACGCAGACGCGTGAAAAAAAAAAAAAAAAAAAAATCATCCAAAAGCAATAGCGGAAACCTCGTAGGGAAGCTCGATGAACTTGGCCTTCATCCGCGGGAGCTCGCCGTGGTAAGTGTTGACCGTCACCTGCATCATCGGAACTTTGACCTCGCTGGTCTCGCCGAGGTGGAAGGTCTCGTCACGCGTGTCCTTCTGGTTGAACGCCGTGTACCAGTTGGCTTTGAAGTAAATCGCGTTGAGGAGCGTCATACGCGTGTCCGCTCTGATGTCATCTGCATCGAAAACACGAGGATTCACATGGAGGAAATCATATTTTTTTTTTTTTTCTTCAAACGCGAAAAAATCACTTTGGGGGTAAAATCGTTGCGGCACCTTCTTGCATGAGATCCTTGATTTTCTGGTGCGTCTTCTCGGCGACCCAGTCATTGATCATCTTCACGGTCTCCTTGGGACTCGTCACGTCCATCTCCGCGGCCTCCGTGCGGAAGGGGTCGATCGCTAACCGCTTGAATTCCTCCCTCACCTTCATGTTCTTGGCAATGTAAATTCTGTTGGCCACTTCGAGAGTCACTTTGTCAACTTTCTGTTTTTTTTTTTTTTTTTTTTTTTTTTTTTTTTTTTTACAAATTTCGTTTTCCAATAACGAGACTCATATCCCGTCGCTTCGATAGGTCGGCGTTGTCCCATGAGCTCGAGAGAGCGAGCGATAAGCCGATACTTTACGAGCGAGAGAGCAACAAAAGTATTTTCGGATACCCATGCGGAGGTAGGTTCGGCCGGTATGTTAATTCGCGCTTGATGAGCCCATCAAAGGAACAGGACGCGATGCTGATGCGTATACATATTACAATGTGGTTGTATATTATTC